ACACACACCCACACACACACACACAAACACACACACACACACACACATCTTGTGGAGTTTGGGATTATGGCACTCTGTACACTCCAGGGGCTAGACAGCAAAGTGAAAGGGTGGATGTCTAGCCATGGAGTGATAGAGATGGTGGTGACCTGACAGAGTGTTGTCATAATTAATTTTCTGTTTTTTTTTTAAATATTCTGCGCGGGGGACTGGCCGGGACCCTGCCCAGACCCAGCCCGTCCCGGGCTGACCAGGAGGGTAGCCGGGTGACCTTCCCCCAGCCGGGCCGCTCGGGGACCAGCCTAGATAATTTGCAATTAATTTTGTGACTCTCCAAGTTTTTCAGAGCAATGGAGGGTGTGGTCGGTGCTGTCTTACTGGTGGATCCTTCTGTGTTAGGTATGTTGCCTTTTGCCCTCCATCCTTTTATGGACTGTATATATGTGTATATACAATTTGTGCAAGTGTGCCACTTCGGCGGCAGCCGGGTGTGTGGGCACCTGGCGCTTAACCACACACCCGTGGCCAACTTTGCATCTTTTACTATCTTGCATATCTATAGTACTATACCTTTTTTGGCTTTATGGATGGTTTATGATGATTCGTGGATGGAACGAGAGCGAGAATTCGGGGTTTTGAAAACACACACACACACACACACACATACACACATCTTTCTGTTCCATGTCAGACCCTTTTCATGCCTCTGTCGTAGGCATTCCTAAAATGTCCAGGGATGTCCTTGAACCACCAGTACCTACCGGTTGGGGCTGCCCCTCTGGTCCAAATTCATTCAAGGCCGTGGGGTACGAAAAGTGTGGTCGGTACTGGTGAGTGCATTCCGATGGGGTGCTCTAGAGCGTGAAATGCACTGACCAATCCCGGAATCTGAATTGGTGAGCAGCGTTCTGTTTACGCGACATGCATTCCACCATGGTGCCTGCCGATTGTCGGCACCCACCTTGTTCTTCTGAAACAAAGAAAGAACAGTCTTGTAAGGGAGAGGGAAAGCAGAACGAAATTCCGATCAGAAGAGGATGTCTCAGAAGAAGAAGAAGTTGAAGAAGTCGGGAAGGATATGATGAGAATGCTGTTCAGCAGCTCTTTGTCTGACAAACCGTATCCATCAAGCAAACACGATTCCAGCAATGCCGCAAGAGCAGCAATGAGCTCCGACTGCATGTTCCTGTGTACCCTCCTCATGATCACTTTGCTAGAAGAATTCATGTCATCTAGCAGTCTAGATGCCCTCGACTCACTGTCATCCCCCATCGTGCCACTTCCCACAGGTTTCTTTTCCCCTCCTGCTCCTGGTTCATCAGCTTGCATGTCACCAACTTGGTCTTTGTAAACGAGGTCCATTTCAGAACCAGGGCTTCCATTTTCGAAGAACTCCCCATCATCACCGAATTCTTGGCTCCTCCTGCTCACCATGCCCCCGAACATGCTGCTGTCATCTTCTCCTAGCCCATCTGATATGACACCGAGCTCGTCCATGTCAGATACTGTCCTCTCCGGAAGGCTGACCATATCACTACCAACTCCTCCTGAGCCCACGGCAACCACAGAGTCACTCTTCACTTCAACGGTACCAAATGAGCCTCTCTTCTCATCAACGACTGTCGATGTGGTTGTTGGTGGATCTGCCGTTGACATCAACGGTCCCATGGCAAACACAGTGCCACTGTTGACGTCAACGTTACCAACTGAGCTTCTCTTCTCATCTGCAACTGCCGAAGAGACGGCATCGTTTGCTGCCGATGCGTAGTCCATAGCCAAACCTTTGCCTTCTTCCAAGCTCTTCCTCTTACTACGTCTATACAAAGAGGCAGCAAGACTGAGATCCTCTGCTGAAGCATATGTCCTTAATGACCGACGCAGCTGGGTGTCTACGTTCCCTTCCATCTCTCGAGGTGTCTTTGGAGACTCCAAATTATCGGCACTCTCTCCATCTCTATCCTTCATCAGCGATGTAAGCCCTCCAGGGCCTCCACCGTGTGCCCCACCTTGCCCACCTCCACGACCTTGTTCTGCGCTGTCAATCTTACTTCCTCCATCTCCTCCTCCTCCTCCTCCTCCTGCTGCTGCTGCTGCTGATGCTGATGCTGATGCTGATGCGATAGTACCAACAGCTATCTCCTGCCCAGCATGCTCACTGCTTCCAGCTGCTGCTTCTGGCGCAGACGAGCTCGGCAAAAGTGCGTACTGTTTTCCAGGAAACAGGAACGACCATCGACAAGTCTGATTTCCTTGTGGTGGCATTATTTTGCCTCGGCCCTCAAAGTCCACATTGCCGGTGCTATGCCTTCTTCTAGGGGCAGCGTCCTTCACAGCCACACCTGCTGCGTACTGCAACCAACCAACCAACCAGTTCAATGACCACACGGTTCGCGATAGAATGTTGGCAAACAACAAGGAACAAGCAAGAAGAAGGGTCAACTAGTAAGGGCCACTAGCCAGTGGATGCCCTGAGCCAGTAGGCCAAGGACCTGCCCCTCAGAGGCTTGGGCCGAAGGCCCTAAAAAGTAGGCCTCGTGGTCCTACCATCTTCACACGAACGGAACATATGATCATTATCGCTGAATCTAAACCGAATGAATGTTCCCCCCAAAACAGCTATAATAATGGCACGTTCTACACAGGGAAAGATAGTAGGCCCTAAGCCCTAGGATCTTAGGCCAACAGTAGTGGCAGTCCTCGCCTCAGTCCTTGGGCCGCTTGTCTAGTGGCAGCTTGGGAGGCCATTTCGCCCCATGCCAAGAGGAGAGGAGGAGGAGTTAGTTACTGCATAATAATTCTTCAGTTTTCAATTTTTTTCCAAACAATCTTCAGTGCTGTGCATCATAAAGCGGTGCGAACAGGAGGGAGAGCTGTATACCGTCTTCACCTGAATAGACTGACCGGTCATTATCACCGCATCTGGACCGAAAGTTGTGCCAAATACGGCTATAATGACCGGGCGTTCTATTCGGGTGAAGACGGTAGTACCGAAGCAAGTGCGGCCCGAGTCTAAAGAAGGAAACTGACCTGGCTGAAAGTTTGCTTTAGGGGTTGGCATGGCGGTGTCGTTGGTGCTTTGGGCAGGCGGATCGTAGTATAGGGCGAGAAGTGTTACAACAGCATTGATGACAACGACCAGAAAGGTATCATCTTGGAAAAAATGTTGAGACAGTTTGTGACCCTGCACCTTCATCAATCAGGCAGCATTTGACATTAGCGCAGACATAGTCGGCACACAATTGGTGGTAGATTAGCATGATGAGCTGGAGTTGTTGTCATCAAATATTATTCCTTATTAAATAGAACAACTACATGCCAGTCAAGGTGAATGTTTGGATAGGCAAAAAAAAAGGAAACAATAAATGCAGTTCTGCGGCGGCGGCAGTTTGGAATGCCCAAAAAGAACATAAAAAAAGCAAAAAGTAGCGGTTTTTTTTTTGTCGTTTTTGAACTCAGGGCCTCTGCAGACCACTGCGCCCGCCCATAAAGACCTGTTTCAAAAAAAAAAAAAAAAAAAAGATCTGAAATGGCTTGGCCAGACTATAGATTGGTATGTTTGACTAATAAAACATGACATTCCTTGTGAGATGTCAAAAAAAGAAAAACGAAACCGCCGCGCCTCTTGAACCTGGTGCCTGCCTGACCTGCGAATACGTGTTTTTTTTGCCTGTTCAGAACTCATTTTCGCTACAGGCGTAGTTGGCGCTATTAACTAACTAGAGCTCATTCCTCTTCTGAGCAAGGTCCCATGTGCGTTGGAACGAAAATCAATGAATGAACTTTTTGAAATTGATTAAGGTGGTTGCTAACTTGCTGCTGGTGGTTGATGAAAATGGGAATTACTAATTAGTTAGAAGAGCTGCTCCACCAAGCCCCCCTCTCGCCCCCCGCCCCACTCACACACATCTGCAGAGAAAAAAAAAAAAAAAAACAGGATGCTGAGGTTATATTACTAATTTACTATATTATTATGTTTCCTAACTTTCCTGCTTGCCCTTTTTTTTCCCCAATGTTTCCTGCTTGCTTACTCCTTTAACCAACCTTTCCCGACATGCCATCACTGTGTAGGTGGTGGCCTTGATGATCACTCCATGCAGCTTCCTTGAGATGCTGTGCCGTCAACACCGGTTTTTCCTGTGGCCCTTCGTCATCACCATCGCCACCACCATCATCTTCTTCTCCTCCTCCTGATGACCTTCGGCTGTCATCATCGTCTTCAACAAATGGCAGACTTGGGAGACTCCTGGCGGGGGGATAACTCTCTAGAATGTTCCAGAGCAGTTCGACCACCATCGGCACAATCGGGTGTCTAAAGCGAAATGACCGCAGCACTGCTGTGATGGGATGAAGAACTCCAGCTGTAAACGATAGGAAGACAACAGGAAAGGAACATGATCAGAAATTGTTCAAATAGGTTAAAGAATCAAAATTCAAATATTTTTTTCTTTTTTCTTTTTCTTTTTCTTTATTTTTAACCGCCAGCACATCCTTGCCTTGTTTGTACGAGGCGGATTCCCCTTGGCGCCAAGCTTTGCCGAAACGCCAGTGCGGTGGTTTTGTTTTCGTTTGGCCTGGCTCTGCCAGACATTTTGGTCCGGTTGCCCCGAACCTCTGAACTTTTCAGATTGAGCCGATCAATCGTTCGTTGTTTTCAAGTTTTGCCTGTGGCCATGTACACTGGTGGTTTAAGGGGGTACCCCAGAACATAATTGGTTCAGCTAATCCCATCAGAGTTCGAACCCATAACCTGTTTGCCAACTAGTTACATGTGTGTGTAACATTCGGCCACATGGGTGAGGTCAGATAGCCAACACAATTCTTTTTTTCTTCGGAGAAAGGGCAAATTTTGTTTCTCTACCGTGATATGGAGGGCAAACCCCAGCCAAGGCATGAGAATAGAAGTTTAAGATATACCCATACAACTTGATACTATGCATGCCAACTGCAGTGACCAAAAATTACAAACATGAGAGTTACGACTTGACAATCCATTCTACCGACAAGACGGCCATTCCCTGATACGTTTCAACTACTCCTCCCGCAGTCTCCTCAGGGGTATTCTCCCCTTCAGCCAAGTACCACCAGAGCAGTAGGATGCTATACTCAGAGCCTTGCCACCCCTTATAGGGGTGTCCAATCTCCACATAATAGGGGCCACATTCTCACCTTTTTTGCCAATCGGCTTATATCGGGTATACGCCTAAATGCATCAGGAAAACAAAGATTACCTCTTTTTCCATGGTTACGTCAGGACCGCAGCAGACGGTCTGGGTCTGGATGTCCGGGTTTAGTGTCCTGTCCAGAGTGTCTGGATCCGTCCCCCCACCTACCCCCAAAAAACATCCGACTTTTCAAAAAAATCAAAAAAATCTGAAGAAAAGATATGTTATGCAGCATTGCAATACAAAGTCAAAATTCGCAGCCAAGCACCAATGAGCCTAGCTCGGTTGGTACAGCCACGAACTGTTGAAATATAGACCCGATTTTGAATCCAGATGCCACCAGATGACCAGAATGAAATCATTCGGATTAGCTGGGGCCGGTCAGTTCAACGATGGTATCTCAAGTCCGTCGCCCTTCGCGGCCAAACTGACGTTGTGGTGTCTCCTGTACGTAGCTGGTCTATGAGTTTGTCGCGGGTGTCGGCCTTGATCTTTCGGAAGAAACATTTGGTCATCTTTTCTCCTTCCTCTAGCCTGCACCTCTGCATCTTTCCAGACCTTCCAATTCGCCAGCTGCAAAGAGGGCCTCCTCAAGGCGTGTCTGTCCCGGCTGAGCTATAAGATTTTGCTCGGCCACTCCCAGGACCGCTGAGCAGAGCGCAGAACTGGACAAACCAATCACACCAGCGGAAGTAAAGGAGGCACTACACTCAATGCAACCAAACAAAACCTCGGGTCGGGATGGACTCTCCAAGGAATTTTGGCAGACATTCTGGCCGATCTTCGAGAAAGGGTACAGCAATTTCTTGAACACAGCCGACCAGGAGGAAGGACTGGGCAAGTACATAAGCACTGGGGTCGAAACATTGCTGTACAAAAAAGGAGACCCAACGGAAATCAGGAACTACCGCCCGATAACGTTGCTGACAGCAGCATACAAGATACTGGCCAAACTGCTGGCCAACAGACACTGCAACATCACCCGAAGCTGCTTCCACATCTACCAGACCAGATTCATCCTCGACAACGTGATGACGCTGACAGAATCTGCACAATACATCACAGACAAGAGACTCAACGCAGCCATCCACTTTTTCGACTTTGAGAAGGCGTACGACCAGGTCAACTGGAACTTTCAGCAGCAATGCATGAAACAGATGGGTGCCGGCCCGAAATTTCGCAAAAAAGGGTACGAGTGTTGTATAACCATGCACATGGCCAGGTGCAACTCAACAGCTTCCTCTCTCCGGCGTATAAAACGTCTCGGTCGGCACGCCAGGGAGAATAGCAGGCCCGGGCTACCACTAGGACAGATAGGCCCTACGGCCTACGCTGATAGACGGTCCTATAACCTATAGCCGGGTAGGGAAAGGCCCTAGAGGCCGAAACTGAAACGGTGCCGGTCAGTCCAGCCAGTTCGGTATAGGTCTAAGCTAGGGTAGTGTAGTTCTATTAATAGACTGGAGGAATCGGTGCAGGGCTTTTGGCAGTTGGTACCGTGTACATCGCTGCTGCGCAACGCATGAACTGGAGTGGTGACAGCTTCAGCGTTGGAGAAGACAGACATAGAAGGACTTGCGAAGCGTCGGCCATAGCTGGGACCTGTGCTGTTCTTTGACAGCACGCGGGACTGTTCAAAGGTCCGGGCTATCTGAAGTCTGTTGGAGGCAAGAGAAGTTGGTGCCCTGCTGAACCCTCCTCAGGAGTAGGGTATCAGGGTGTGTGGCGCTGCAGCCATAGCTGCAGCTTTTCATCCTCAGAGATCATCTTTGTCAGGAGACGTGCCACTGCTACAGACTTCCACCCGGGAAGTCTTTTGGCACTTCATCATCATCAGTTACTGTGGCGCTGGTCTTCTTCTTCTTCTTCATCCTCTGAGAGGCGCTTGGCCTCAGATGCCTGTTTCAGGGTGGCGCTTCCCTCTGGAGGCAGTATCTGGGTGGCGCTGGTTGTTTCAGGGACTCAGGGGTAGTAATAGCGGTTACTTAGGGTTGGGGAGTGAAGCGCTGCTCATTTCTGAGCAGCGCACCATGGTTTTGGGGTTATTCTGACATTTTGAGACTCTGAGTTTCATAAACAGTGTGAATACTGCGTGAGGACTATCATTGCTTCATTGTTTCCTGGATGTGATCTACTCGGCTTTCCTTTGTGACTGGTTGTGAGGATTCTGTGGAGCGAATTGCACTTTCAGTGTTTTCTGTCATATCGCATGGACAAGTCTTCCGCTGTGTTTATCTCTCCCTGTGCGGTGTGATACTCCCATCCTCTCCCCTTCCTTCTGTGTATGTATGGGCATACCTGGAAGTCTATGCGAGCGAGTGTTGGACTTCTGACAACAAACAACCAGGTGCATAACACTACGGCCTACCTCTGGACATGCAATCTTTCCAGGCAGAGCTTCATTCCCAAGGTGGCTTGGGCATACCTCACACAACCGAAAGGAAGCGGGGGGCTGGGAATACTTGACCCGCTCGCTGAAACAAAAGCCCTCCAGACCAAGTGGATAGCGAAGCTGCTAGCCAGCCACAGTCTGCCATGGACCTCCCTTGCACTGCACAGGATCAGACAATTACCAAAGGCCTCCACCCCATCCAATATGCAGGGATACTATTGGCTGATGTGCAAATCATGGTCCAACCGCCGCGGAGCGCAGCGGCAGCAACAGCAACCGCTCCAACAACAAATACTGCACGAGACAAGGACAGACTACTGGATGTACCTCGTCAAAACTTGGAGGAAAATCTTCCCGGCCAAAGTCCGTCGACCGACAAATAGAGAAGAAGTCATGTGACAGCCGCTCTTCTGCAATCAGTGGCTCAAAGACCAAGAAGACAAACCATGGACACTAACGACCCAGGATGGTCGCTGGATCACGTGGTTGGAGCGAGGAGTCTGGAAGATTAGTCACATATGGAATCACCAGCACAACCGGTGGAAAACCTGCCTGGAACTCCGAGAAACCCTCAAAGGCTGGCACAACCTCCAAGACAACCTGGCCGCCCTCCTACAATCGATTCCTCCCGAGTGGCTTCCGCTGCTGCAAGCCCCCCCTACATGGACGTCTGGGGAATGGGCCACGTGAATCGGGGAAAGCACCCCGACAGTGGCCCTGTCATTTGTCAAACGAACAGGTGCAGCTGGGGGAATGGGCACTATGGACCATTCATGACATCAAGCAGCCAGGGCAGACCACGAGCACGGTCACAAAAGCGGTCGCAGCCAGAGTAACAGCTAAAACGAGTGTCCTGAGAAAAGTGAGAGCGCTGGAGGACGACGAGTACAGGATCTGCAATCCAAAACAGTAAAGCTACAAGATCTCGAAGTCGACCCAGCGGAATGGGCTTGGAAAACAACCTCTGGGCGAATGGGGACGGAGCGCAGAACCAGCATCCTGGAATACATAACACGGTTCGGCTACGGGCGAAGGCGGTGTCCGGTCAGCATAAGTGACACGCTATCTACAAGGTGGGAGAAGCACGTGCGAGGAGGGCTGGGGACCCGAACGCAGATCTCATGGCAGATCCCCCTAGCGATCAGAAAACACCTGCATCAGAAGTATGCAATGGCTCATCTACTAACATGCATTACCAGTCAACAAATCCGCTAAGCAGGCGAAGATCCGAAGCAGCCAGACAAAAAATTGGACGACCTGTGTGCTCTTTGTGAGGAGGGAACCGCAGAGGACCTTCCCCATTGCTTGCTTTCCTGTCCAAACGCGAAACAGCTTTGGAACAAAACAGAAACACTATGGGTTTCCTTAACTGATTCACCCCTGCCAGGGACCAACATCACACGACTGATCGCAATGCAGGAGCGAACTTTGCCCGGGACTTGGCAGAGGACCCTCTTCCAAAGACTATGTCCTCTTACCCTCTGGGTGATATGGAAGAGAAGATGTGAAGGGACCATTGCTTCCCAGACCACTCCTGTACCTGAAGCATCGGAGACTCTCCTCCTCCACCTTCTACAGGCCGAATACCAAGCGGACTGGAACAAAGCAGAAAAGCTCATTAAAGCGATCCCACAAAGCAGCAGGTAATTATCGACAAATTTATAAGAGAGCGCCTGGGGAATGGAAAGCTGGGTGGCATCAAAGGCAACACACCAAGGCTCGTCTGGAGGATCACAGGGACCCGTCCAGGAGGACATCACGAGGCAGCAGCAGTTCCGCTGACACCTGTTCGCTCACAAGCAGA